GCCACCACCGCCACCACCATCACCACCACCACCGCCACCGCCGCCACCACCGCCGCCACCGCCACCACCACCGCCACCACCATCACCACCGCCACCACCACCGCCACCACCGCCACCACTAACCGGTCACTGCCTCGAATTGAACAACACGCCGGGGTGTCGCACGCGTGCCAGAACCGGCGCCGGAGTTTGGCGCACACACGTGGCACGCCGCCGCCCTCGCCGCTGTGCCGCCCGCCACCGCGAGAGCCACAGGGGAATTGTTCCGATGCCGATGGAGAGGCAGGATTTGGACAAAGTCGTTCCCTGATCATTTCAAGCTCGGAGCCCCTCGTGAATTCGTCTGTGGGTGCTGTGTTGGCCACGAGTCATCAACGTGTCCTATGTTAGTCTATGGGTCCAATGTTAGTCGACGGGTCATATGTAAGTCTGGGTTCTATGTGAAGCAATGAGTCCTCCTTTAAGTCTGTGGGTTCCTATGTAAGTCTATGAGTCCAATGTTAGTCTACGGGTCATATGTAAGTCTGGGTTCTATGTGAGGCAATGAGTCCTCCTTTAAGTCTGGGGGTTCTACGTAAATCTATGAGTTCCGTGTCAAGGCTGCGCGCGGCATACTTTCAACGCAATCTGTTGTGAGTAAGTCGGCTATCCAAAAAAAGCATTTCCACATCCAGTCGACGTCTCTCGCTATGGCTGCGGCCACGTGTCCAGCCACTGCAGTCTCCCAGCAACCGGCGAGTCAGGCGGCGAGAAATGAAGGCCTTTGAAGGCCTTCTCGCCACGCTTTGCGAAACCCGCGTGGGTCCGGATTTGAAGCGGCTCGTGGCGCCGACTGTCAGAGCACGCGCACTCTACTCGAGCAGCCCGGTGAGGCATCATGCGGAGTGGGCATTCCACGTTCCCGTGGCGGGGACGGGCTCGCGTGACAGGGGACGGGTAACCCGTGCGAAAAGGCCTATTTTACGCGGCGCTTGGTCGAAAAAAATAAAAATTCGAGCGCCGATAAAAACGAAGCAGAAATGAAAGAAAAAAAAGTAAAAGAGAGACGCGCGAAAAAAACAATCCGCAGCGCGCACAATTTCCAGTCAATCGACAACAAGATTCTGTTTTGACCGTTGGGAATGTGGCTGCGTGGGGCGGTCGTGGGGGGCGGGTGAACTGGAGGGGGGGGCCCACATAGGAGTAGCGGGGGAGGGGGGCAGCTCAGGAAACAGGCGGCCGTGGTAGTGGGAAGTGCGCCTCTTATCGCGACGCAGGCACACTTCCGCAGGAAACCGCACGGACGCGCGCCCGCCAACGCTCGCAGCGGCTCTCGCACGCCAACCCCCCCCCCCCAAACCACTCCGCCCCCCACACACCACCCGCTGTCGCAAGCGAGGCCGGCCGGTGGTGAAACCCGAGCAGGTGGCCCCCCCAAGACGTTGAACAACAGTGGCCCCCCACCCCACGCCCGCTGCCTCGACTCCACCCCGAACCCCGCCTCCCAACAGCGGCGGGCATCGCGACTCTCTGCTTCTCCGACTCTTGAGTAAAAGTTAAAGGTTTCGATGACTTTGCTCCGCTACGACTACGGGCACACGGCGGCCAACGTCAGTGGGACTCCTCCGTCCAGTCTTGGGAATCACAGACGGCTGTAAAGCTGCCGTCGTTGTTATTATCATGATGAGGAGGCGAAGGCGCAGCCCTGCAATTGCTTGCTCACGCCATTGCTGCCAGATGGGCTTACGCTCGAGGCAGCTCTCTCTAGAGAGAGAGTTCTAGAGAGTTCTAGAGAGAAAGAGGCAGCTCTCTAGAGAGTTCTAGAGAGTTCTAGAGAGAAAGAGGCAGCTATCTAGAGAGTTCTAGAGAGTTCTAGAGAGCTCTAGAGAGAAAGAGGCAGCTCTCTAGAGAGTTCTAGAGAGCTCTAGAGAGCTCTAGAGAGAAAGAGGCAGCTCTCTAGAGAGTTCTAGACAGCTCTAGAGAGCTCTAGAGAGCAAGAGGCAGCTCTCTCTAGAGAGTTCTAGAGAGTTCTAGAGAGCTCTAGAGAGAAAGAGGCAGCTCTCTAGAGAGTTCTAGAGAGCTCTAGAGAGCTCTAGAGAGAAAGAGGCAGTTCTCTAGAGAGTTCTAGAGAGCTCTAGAGAGCTCTAGAGAGAAAGAGGCAGCTCTCTAGAGAGTTCTAGAGAGCTCTAGAGAGCTCTAGAGAGCAAGAGGCAGCTCTCTCTATAGAGTTCTAGAGAGTTCTAGAGAGCTCTAGAGAGAAAGAGGCAGCTCTCTAGAGAGTTCTAGAGAGCTCTAGAGAGCTCTAGAGAGAAAGAGGCAGCTCTCTAGAGAGTTCTAGAGAGCTCTAGAGAGCTCTAGAGAGCAAGAGGCAGCTCTCTCTATAGAGTTCTAGAGAGTTCTAGAGAGCTCTAGAGAGAAAGAGGCAGCTCTCTAGAGTTCTAGACAGCTCTAGAGAGCTCTAGAGAGCAAGAGGCAGCTCTCTCTAGAGAGTTCTAGAGAGTTCTAGAGAGCTCTAGAGAGAAAGAGGCAGCTCTCTAGAGAGTTCTAGAGAGCTCTAGAGAGCTCTAGAGAGCTCTAGAGAGAAAGAGGCAGCTCTCTAGAGTTCTAGACAGCTCTAGAGAGCTCTAGAGAGCAAGAGGCAGCTCTCTCTAGAGAGTTCTAGAGAGTTCTAGAGAGCTCTAGAGAGCAAGAGGCAGCTCTCTCTAGAGAGTTCTAGAGAGCTTTAGAGAGAAAGAGGCAGCTCTCTAGAGAGTTCTAGAGAGCTCTAGAGAGAAAGAGGCAGCTCTCTAGAGAGTTCTAGAGAGTTATAGACAGCAAGAGGCAGCTCTCTAGAGAGTTCTACCTCTCTAGAGGGTACTTGGCCTACTCTTCCACGCTGGAAGAGGATGGAGTCACCCCACACTTGACCACCCCACCGCACGCGACCTGCCGGAGGCGACCACGTGACCTGCCCCCCCCCACCCATTCACACTGCTGTGCGTGCAGAGGCCTGGGGACTTAATAAACACCCCCCGTAGTTTGGTCTGCCTCGCCAGGAGATAGAACGGGGCCTACTCTGGCTTGCATGTGGAGCCTTCTGCTTCTCAGGAGGCAGCTCTTCCACCGCTGGATGGATCCCTCCCCCCCACCCCCCCAGTACCTAATGGACACAGTGAGGGGGGGGGGGTTGTTTGACCATACTTCGCCACGCTGGTCGTTGTGGGTCGACGTAGGGGTCACGTGAGTGTTGGTGACTTAGCCCCACACCTAATCCCTCCGTGACCCCCTCTCCCACCCTGCCCTTGTGACCCGTGAAATAGCTGAGCCCCCCTCCCCTTCCCTGCCTCCTACCCCCTCTGCCCCCCTCCCTCCACCCCCTCGCCCCCCCCTGCCCCCCTCCGGCCCCCCCTGCACCCCAACTCCCTCCCTACTTTTTAAAGGGACTCCTGGACAATGTGTCATCCGGACATCCAATAAACAGCCGAGGGCACGGAGTGAACACGACAGCAGCACGTGTGTCATGTGTGTGTGTCGTGTGTGTGTGTCGTGTGTGTGTGTGTGTGCCTGGTGTGCGTATCGTGTGTGTGCCTGGTATGTGTGTGTGTGTGTCGTGTGTGTGTCGTGGGTGGCTGGTGTGCCTGGTGTGTGTGTCGTGTGTGTGTGTCGTGTGCCTGGTGTGTGTGCCGTGTTGTGTGACGTATGTCGTGTGCCTGGTGTGTGTGTATCGTGTGTGTGCCGTATTGTGTGTCGTGTGTGTGCGCCTGGTCTGTGCGTATCGTTTATGTGCCGTGTTGTGTGCCGTGTTGTGTGCCGTGTTGTGTGTCGTGTGTGTGTGTCGTGTGTGTGTGTCGTGTGTGTGTGTCGTGTGCCTGGTGTGTGTGCCGTGTTGTGTGCCGTTTTATGTGTGCTTGGTGTGTGTGTATCGTGTGTGTGTCGTATCGTGTGTCGTGTGTGTCCCTGGTGTGTGCGTATCGTTTGTGTGCCGTGTTGTCTGCCGTGTTGTGTGTCGTGTGTGTGTATCGTGTGTGTGTGTATTTTGTATGTGTGTGTGTGCGCGTGTCAAGTGTATGTACTGCGTGTGTGTGTGTCTTGCGCGACAGCCAAAATCACCCAGAACTGGCCTGGAGTTCGAGAAGCTTAGCAAGATCAATCTTGCTTCTTATTATTATTATCTATCTCTCTATAAGTCTATGGGTGTCTATGCGAGTCTATGGGTCGCCGTGTGAGTCGACGGGTCCCTATGTCAGTCCGAAGGCATGCGCCTGTGAGATGACCAAGATGACTTCAAACTTTCGTGACTGCTGGAATTCATATTCTTGGGTCTTTCGGTGAAGCCACGTAGATAGATAAAATAATAATAAATAATAAATAATTTAAAAATTATAACAATATCACGACGTTTCGATTGCAACACAAGCAATCGTCATTAGGTGAGAAATATATCGGGAGAGCTGCTGAGAATATATGGTGGGAGCGCTGCTAAGGTAAGGAGTTATAAAGGTTTGGGATGGTGTAGCCCAAAGGTCAGTGGGAGGGGCTAGAGATGAAATTTGCATGTAAATGTGAGATCGGGTAAATCTTGACAAACGAAGCTGTGGGGGTGGCCATTGCATTGTGAGGGATTAGCATGTCAATGTAAGAGATTAGCATGTCAATGTAAGAGATTAGCATGTCAATGTAAAAGATTAGCATGTCAATGTAAGAGATTAGCATGTCATTGTAAGATATTAGCATGTCAATGTAAAAAATTAGCATGTCAATGTAAGAGATTAGCATGTCATTGTAAGAGATTAGCATGTCAATGTAAGAGATTAGCATGTCAATGTAAAATATTAGCATGTCAATGTAAGAGATTAGCATGTCATTGTAAGAGATTAGCATGTCAATGCAAGAGATTAGCATGCCAATGTAAGAAATTTGCATCTCAATGTAAGCTCGGAGAGAGCTCGGCATCTGATAACGATGGCGATGGCGATGGTGAGAACGACGACGACCACAACGACGACCACAACGAGTGAGCGTGCGTGCACTGCGGCTCTCACCGGCCGCCTCTTGGGCTTGATGAGGGGCCGGTTCTGCCCATTGGTCTTGTGGTAGAGGCCGCACGCGTTGCACAGGTAGTGCCCGTTGGCGTCGCGACGCCACAGCGGCGTCGCCGTGGCGCCGCAGTTGACGCACTCGCGGCTCTCGCCGCACGCGGGCGCCGGCTCTCCTGGCGGGAGAGAGGGGGGGCACAACGAGCGTTAGCGACGATCACCCCCGGCACCTCCGGCACCTTCGGCAGCGCGCGCACCGTCAACGCCGCCGGCGCGTCTCGCCCATCCGCGAGCGAAACACTCCGGGGGCTTCGGTGGCTCGGGCGGCGGGCGTGCGGCCTACAGCCTCGCACGTGAATCTCTCAACGAGCGCCTTGGTGACGAATGTTTTTGTTGTCTGTTTACATCCTAGCGCGACGATGCGTGCACGTGCGTATGCCGTGCGTGGGCAAACGGCGCTAATCGGAGGTGCGGGGGAGGAGGACGAGAAACTAAACACAAAAAATAGCAGTTCTGCTGAAATGAGTTTCTAATGAAGATGATTTGAAAGTGCACAAAGCTCCAGTGACTTCCTCATATAGCGGAGAAAAAGTCACGCGACCACGGGGAGAACACGCAGACTCCGAATTACACAGCAGGGGTCACGGTCGCGATCGAACCCACGGCCCCCTGCATTACAGACGCGGGATGCGGGCATTGGCGAGTGCCAGCATGGTGGGGAAGGGGAGATGGCTGCCCCCACAGTTGCGCACACCGAAGCCCTTGACCCATCGCAAATCGGCAAATGCCGCCATCCGTACACCCCCCTAGGCAAATAGGAAAACTCAGAGGTTTGGTTCCCGGGTTCGTAATAGGACACCCACTCCTCCTCCTGTTGTTCTATGTGACCTTACGTCAACCCGACACATTAAACAGGAAGTATTTTTTTAACGTAAAGTACAATTCATATTTTAAATACACACACAATGCGCGCGACAATTCACACGATATGCATGCAATATACACACACGCACAACGCACGCACACTACACGCGCAACACACACACACACAATGAACACGCGCAATACACACAATGCACGCACAATACACCCACAATGCACGGTGCTATACAGCCGGCACGAGCGGTGGGAGCGCACCGCGGCGCACGTGAAATGTCTCTCGCGAAACGACGACGACGACTCCCCGAGCCAGGCAGGAAGGGCGTGCCGCCACGCCCGGTGGCTTCTGCTCAAACAACCCCGCGGCTCTCTCTCTCTCTCTCTGCTCATGGCCATCGTGAGGGGTTAGAGGTCAAGGGGTCAGGTTAGTGAGTTGGTTCAGGTTAGGGTCAGAGTCAGGGGTTAGGTAAGTGAGTTGGTTCAGGTTAGGGTCAGAGTCAGGGGTCAGGTTAGTGAGTTGGTTCAGGTTAGGGTCAGAGTCAAGGGTCGGGTAAGTGAGTTGGTTCAGGTTAGGGTCAGAGTCAGGGGTCGGGTAAGTGAGTTGGTTCAGGTTAGGGTCAGAGTCAGGTAAGTGAGTTGGTTCAGGTTAGGGTCAGAGTCAGGGGTCAGGTAAGTGAGTTGGTTCAGGTTAAGGTCAGAGTCAGGGGTCGGGTAAGTGAGTTGGTTCAGGTTAGGGTCAGAGTCAGGGGTCGGGTAAGTGAGTTGGTTCAGGTTAGGGTCAGAGTCAGGGATCGGGTAAGTGAGTTGGTTCAGGTTAGGGTCAGAGTCAGGGGTCGGGTTAGTGAGTTGGTTCAGGTTAGGGTCAGAGTCAGGGGTCGGGTAAGTGAGTTGGTTCAGGTTAAGGTCAGAGTCAGGAGTCAGGTAAGTGAGTTGGTTCAGGTTAGGGTCAGAGTCAGGGGTCGGGTAAGTGAGTTGGTTCAGGTTGGGGTCAGAGTCAGGGGTCGGGTGAGTGAGTTGGTTCAGGTTAGGGTCAGAGTCAGGGGTCGGGTAAGTGAGTTGGATCAGGTTAGGATCAGAGTCAGGGGTCGGGTAAGTGAGTTGGTTCAGGTTAGGGTCAGAGTCAGGGGTCGGGTAAGTGAGTTGGTTCAGGTTAGGGTCAGAGTCAGGGGTCGGGTAAGTGAGTTGGTTGAGGTTAGGGTCAGAGTCAGGGGTCGGGTGAGTGAGTTGGTTCAGGTTAGGGTCAGAGTCAGGGGTCGGGTAAGTGAGTTGGTTCAGGTTAGGGTCAGAGTCAGGGGTCAGGTTAGTGAGTTGGTTCAGGTATAGGGTTAGAAGTAGGGTTTGGGTCATCGGGTGTATAGGGTAGTTTAGGCTTCATAGGGAGTAGGTTGTTGTTGTTGCAATCATTGTGTTTGTAGTTTGTATAACCCAGAGAAAGCACACGTGAAACTTTGGTTCAGGAGGGGCAGTGTGCGTGTGTAGTTTCCGATCGAGTAATCTGCGGGGTGCGGTTCATTTTTTCTTTCAAAACTTGCCATGATCGTGTGATCCGTGACCATGGCCTACTCTTGCCAATGACGTTACGGGATCTTTAACGTCCACAGTGAAGCAGGTTAAGGGTTAGGCATCAAGTTCATTGGGGGGTTATCTTTGAAGGCCAAGGGTTAGGCGTTGGATTAGAGTGAGAAATCGGCATGTGGTTTGCGCTTAGGTTTTGACTTTAAGGGGTAGGGTTATGATTCAGGTTGTTAAACTTGGATTGGGGTTAGGAATTTGGCTTTAGTTCGGACTTAGGACATTGTATGTGTGTAGAACTTCTTTCGCACCGTACGTAGCCAACCGCACTCATCGGAGGTCCATATCATCAAGTCTAGCTTAATGCTAAGATGCGAGTTCAGGTTATTGACTTTTCAGTTAGGGTTAGGACTTGACTTAGATTGGTTGGGTTAGGTTCAGGCCTAATCGTAGGGCTCTGCATGACAGGGCCCCGTTATTTTGAGGGAGTGCTTTAACCAATTCACATTTGGTAAACCCGCAGTTTTTTTTTTTTAGCAATCCTTACCCTCTTGATGAGATCTAAGAATGGCAAAACCAGGCCAGGGTTAGCTCACTCACGTAATGCTGCGGTTGTCACGAGCCTGGACTAAGTCCTCGAGGCCAATGGACTATCATCATCCATGGTGCTACAGAAAGGAGGTCGATCCATGAATTATTTACCCACTATCATCCTCCACTGAAGTCAGTTGCCATCCGCAAATTGACGAGCGTTTGGCTTCGTGTGTTGATTGGTAAAAGGTGTACCTTTACTAGGAAGCCACTTGGAGCTATGCATTTTAAAATCATTTAGATTCAAAACTTATTTCTTTAGAACTGCTATCCTTCCCCTGCACCTCCAATTAGCACAGTTCAACATACATATGTACCAATCATCAGACTTGGAAAGTGTGTCATCACGCGTAGCACAATGCACCGTTATTTGTTACCCAGGGGAAGACTTCCACCAAAAGAGTCTCAATATTGCTTGTGAAGAGGGTCCTGCCACTTTGGGAACGTTTGGCAAAGGAATTCCATTAGCGATGAGAGTTGCGAAGCTTCGTGTGGGCAGGAAACCGGAAAACGTGGAGGAAACCCCTCCCCCGTGCATGCATAACAAGGAGGTGACGCTCAAAGCTCCACACAGATGTATTCAATAATCCATGACGTGCTGCTGGCATCCAGCCACCGCATCGCACACTTTCAGATATGCTCCTGCGGCCGTCTGGAACGCTCTTTTCCCTCCGATATAAGGAAGCCACTGGGAGCTACGCACTTTTAAAATCATCTCGATTTGCCAAACTCATTTCTTTAGAACTGATTCTTGTGTGTTAGTTTGGGTGTCCCCCCCCCCCACCGCACCTCCGATTAGCACCGTCGGCTACGTACGGTGTGAAGAAGTTCAATGTACACCACTGGAACCTCATTTGCCAGTAGAAAAATGATAATTGTTTTTTACCCTTCTATCTGGCAACAAAACTGACGCCTTTTTTTTTTACAAGAGTCGTGTTTGCATAGACCACAATACCTGCAGTCATAATGCAAACAAGAGTTATGTTTTTTGTTTGCATTATGACTGCAGGTATTGTGGTCTATGCAAACATGACTCCTTGTAAAAAAAAGGTTGTCAGTTTTGTTGCCAGATAGAGGGTAAAAAAACATATCAATTCCAATGTACATACATACATGCTCTGGTCCCATTTAAGCGGAACGAACGTACCACCGTCATGTGCGACTCGGGACAGCAAAGGCCCACCGAGCTGAGCATTTTACAGAGGACAACAACCCTGACCTTGCCGGAATCCTCTGGCAAATGAGATAAACGAATCCTGATTTAGCAGTGCACCCAGACAAAGGAGTTCACATTTCGT